TATGTTTGTCTGATGGGGGGGGTGTGGGGGGGTGGGGGGGGGGGTGGGGGGGGGTCGGGGGGGTTTGGGGGGGGTCCTTGAGGGTTTTCAGGAGGGTTTGGGGGTGTCCAGGAAGGTTGGGGGGGGGACCCTCAGTGGGATGGAGCTGTTCTGGGGGGGTCACTCTGTGCCCAAGTGGTCTCAGGGTTGGACGGGTTTGGGGGTGTCCAGGAAGGTTGGGGGGGGGACCCTCAGTGGGATGGAGCTGTTCTGGGGGGGTCACTCTGTGCCCAAGTGGTCTCAGGGTTGGACAGAGTTTGGGGGGGGGGTCCACGAGGGTTTGAGAGGGTCAAGGAGGAATTTTGGGGGGAGACAGGAGGAGTTTGGGGGCTGCAGAAGGACTCGGAGGGGTTTTGCTCTGTGGGATTGGGCTGTTGGGGAGTGGTCGGGGATGTCCCAGGGTTAGAGGCTCCTGGGGGGGTCCGGAAAGGTTTGGGGGTCCCTCCCTATGCTTGACCAGCCGTTCCCCTCCGCAGGGCCCCCGAAGGACCTGTCCCCCTTGGCCGAGGCCATGGGGCAGCCCCTGGGCTGGGGGTCCAGCGACGGCCCCGGGGGGGCTGCGGGCGGGGGGACCCCTCCGGGGCAGCGGCAGCGCCGCCCCCCCCACCCCAAGCACAAGGGCCAGGGGGGCACCGGGGGCGTCCATCGCTCCCCCCGCGCCCTCTTCTGCCTCCGCCTCAACAACCCCATCCGCCGGGCGGCCATCAGCATCGTGGAGTGGAAGTGAGTGGGGGGCTCGGGGGGTCTGGGGGCTGCCATCAGCATCGTGGAGTGGAAGTGAGTGGGGAGCTCGGGGGGTCTGGGGGCTGCCATCAGCATCGTGGAGTGGAAGTGAGTGGGGAGCTCGGGGGGTCTGGGGGCTGCCATCAGCATCGTGGAGTGGAAGTGAGTGGGGAGCTCGGGGGGTCTGGGGGCTGCCATCAGCATCGTGGAGTGGAAGTGAGTGGGGAGCTCGGGGGGTCTGGGGGCTGCCATCAGCATCGTGGAGTGGAAGTGAGTGGGGAGCTCGGGGGGTCTGGGGGCTGCCATCAGCATCGTGGAGTGGAAGTGAGTGGGGAGCTCGGGGGGTCTGGGGGCTGCCATCAGCATCGTGGAGTGGAAGTGAGTGGGGAGCTCGGGGGGTCTGGGGGCTGCCATCAGCATCGTGGAGTGGAAGTGAGTGGGGAGCTCGGGGGGTCTGGGGGCTGCCATCAGCATCGTGGAGTGGAAGTGAGTGGGGAGCTCGGGGGGTCTGGGGGCTGCCATCAGCATCGTGGAGTGGAAGTGAGTGGGGAGCTCGGGGGGTCTGGGGGCTGCCATCAGCATCGTGGAGTGGAAGTGAGTGGGGAGCTCGGGGGGTCTGGGGGCTGCCATCAGCATCGTGGAGTGGAAGTGAGTGGGGAGCTCGGGGGGTCTGGGGGCTGCCATCAGCATCGTGGAGTGGAAGTGAGTGGGGAGCTCGGGGGGTCTGGGGGCTGCCATCAGCATCGTGGAGTGGAAGTGAGTGGGGAGCTCGGGGGGTCTGGGGGCTGCCATCAGCATCGTGGAGTGGAAGTGAGTGGGGAGCTCGGGGGGTCTGGGGGCTGCCATCAGCATCGTGGAGTGGAAGTGAGTGGGGAGCTCGGGGGGTCTGGGGGCTGCCATCAGCATCGTGGAGTGGAAGTGAGTGGGGTGGGGGTGGCACCTGGGGAGGCGCCGGAGGGTGGCACCGTGGGGTGGCAGGGGCTGTGGGGACGCGGGGGGGTCCCTGTGTCACACGTGTCCCCTGGCACACGCTGTGCCGCTGCCTTAATCCGCTTTGCCGCCGGGGCCGGGGGGGCGGGGGGGGCCCTAATCCCGGCTGAGCCGCCCCAGTCACCCACAAAGGGGACACTGGGAGGGGGCTGGAGGGGGCCCAAATGTCCCTTGTCACCCCGAGGGGGGAGACACTGGGGCAGGACGCCCCAAATATCTCTATTCCTTGAGCCCCAAAGGAAGGGGTGGCGTCAGGGGTGTCCCCCAAATGTCCCTGTCACTTGTCCAGTGGCAAAGGGAGGGTCAGGGGAGGTCCCAAAGTGTTCCTGCCCCTTGTACCCGGGGGAAGGGGACTCTGGGAGGTGTGAGAGGCTGAGGGGGTTCCCGAGTGTCCTTGTCCCCAAAAGGACAGGGATGCAAGGGGGTTCCCAAGGGTCCCTGTCTCTTGTCCCCAAAAAGGGACAAATATCCCTGTCTCATTCCTCAGGAGAAGGGAGGATGCTGGGAGGGGGAACCCCAAATGTCCCCAGGGGATGCTGGAAGGGGTGGAGGGGTCAGTGAGGGTCCTCAAATGTCCCTGATCCCCAGGAAAGGGGACACTGTGAGCGATGAGGGGACGGAGGTGTCCTGAATGCCCTCCTGGAGAAGGGGTCAGCGTGTCAGGGGAGGGGGGGCCCCAACAGGGAAGGGGACACTGGGTGACCCCGTGCGCCCCTGGAGCAGGGGGTGCTGACCCCCCCTGCCCGCCGTGCCCCCCCAGGAGCAGGTGGAGTACGTGTTCCTCATCATCTTCACGGTGGAGACGTTCCTGAAGATCATCGCCTACGGGCTGGTGCTGCACCCCAGCGCCTACATCCGCAACGGCTGGAACCTGCTGGACTTCGTCATCGTCATCGTGGGGTCAGGGGCTCTCCGGGGACAGGGACAGCCGGGGCAGGGGGACACAGAGCCGTGTGACCCCGTGGTGTCCCCCCAGGCTGTTCAGCGTGATCCTGGAGCAGGTGTCCCACAAGCCGGGCGATGCCCACCACATGAGCGGCAAGCCGGGCGGCTTCGACGTCAAGGCCCTGCGCGCCTTCCGCGTGCTGCGCCCGCTGCGCCTCGTCTCCGGCGTCCCCAGTGAGACCCCGGGGACAGCGAGGGGGTTTTGGGGTCCCCCTCAGCCTCCTGCCAACCCCCCCGTGCCCCCCCCAGGCCTCCACATCGTGCTCAACTCCATCATGAAGGCGATGGTGCCGCTGCTGCACATCGCGCTGCTCGTGCTCTTCGTCATCATCATCTACGCCATCATCGGCCTCGAGCTCTTCATCGGCCGCATGCACAAGACCTGCTTCTTCATCGGCTCTGGTAGGCACGGGGGGGTCACCCCGTGGGTCCCCCCCAGCCCTGGGACACCCCCAGAGTCCCTCAGTGCTCCCAGGTACCCCAGCCTGGGGACCGGGATCCCCCAGGGACACCCCACACTGAGGCTCCCCTAAAACTCCTGAGACCACCCCCCCAGCACTGAGCACCCCCCAGGACACCCCACATTGAGACCCCCCTAAAACTCCTGAGTCCCCCACACCCAGCACTGAGGATGCCCCAGGACACCCCAGCAGGGTTCTGGGGCTCCTTAACATACTGAGACCCCCCTAAATTCCCTGAGCACCCCCTCAGGACACCCCAGCAGGGTTCTGAGATCCTTAACACACTGAGACCCCCCTAAATTCCCTGAGCACCCCCTCAGGACACCCCAGCAGGATTTTGGGGCTCCTTAACATACTGAGACGCCCCCTAAATATCCTGAGCACCCCCAGGACACCCCAGCAGGGTTCTGAGCTTCTTAGCACACTGAGACCCCCTAAATTCCCTGAGCACCCCCTCAGGACACCCCAGCAGGATTTTGGGGCTCCTTAACATACTGAGATGCCCCCTAAATATCCTGAGCACCCCCAGGACACCCCAGCAGGGTTCTGAGCTCCTTAACACACTGAGACCCCCCCTAAATTCCCTGAGCACCCCCCAGGACACCCCAGCAGGGTTCTGGGGTTCCCAGCACACCCCTGAGCCCCTGCAACATCAGGGGTGTGAGTAGGCAGGAGGGACAAGAGTGGGGACAGCAGCTGAGTTAGTGCCGGTGAAAGAGAAGCTTGGGGACAGGAATTTTCAGCAGGGACAGGAATTTTCAGCAGGAACAGGAATGGTCAGCAGGGACAGGAATGGTCAGGAGGGACAGAAATTTTCAGCAGGAACAGGAATTTTCAGCAGGAACAGGAATTTTCAGCGGGGACAAGAGTTACCCACGGGACCAGGATCTCTCAGTGGGGACCGGAGCTGAGTGAGGGCAGTGATGAGGGGCAGCGCCCTGGCGGGAGCTGTCACCAGGGCTCGCTGTCGCCTGTCCCCAGACCTGGAGTCGGAGGATGACCCCTCTCCCTGCGCCTTCTCGGGGCACGGCCGCGCCTGCCTGCAGAACAACACCGAGTGCCGCGGCCGCTGGGAGGGGCCCAACGGCGGCATCACCAACTTCGACAACTTCTTCTTCGCCATGCTCACCGTGTTCCAGTGCATCACCATGGAGGGCTGGACCGACGTGCTCTACTGGGTGAGACCCCCGAGCCCCCCAGGATCCTCACACAAATCGCTGAGACCCCTCAGAATCCTTACAACCCCTCCCTGAGCCCCCCAAATCCAGTGCATCACCATGGAGGGCTGGACTGATGTGCTCTACTGGGTGAGACCCCCGAGCCCCCCAGGATCCTCATAACCCCTCCCTGAGCCCCCCCAAATCCTCACACAAATCGCTGAGAGCCCCCAAATTCTCACACAAATCACTGAGCCCCCCAAATCTACTGCATCCCCATGGAGGGCTGGACCAACGTGCTCTACTGGGTGAGACCCCTGAGCCCCCCAAAGTCCTCATAACCCTTCCCTAACCCCCCAGAATTCTCACACAAATCACTGAGCCCCTCCAAGTCCTCAAACACATCCTTGATCCTCCCCAAAATCCTCAAAACCTCCCTGAGCCCCCCAGAATCCTCACACAAATCTCTGAGCCCCTCCAAGTCCTCACACCCACCTTGAGCCCCCCAAAAATCCTCACACTCATCCCTGATCCCCCAAATCAACCCAGACCAGGGCAGAGCCCCAAACCTCTCTGCTGGGTGTCACTGGCCTGACCTGAGGAGGGATTTGGGGGGACCCCATCACCCCAAATCTCCCCCCACAGATGCAGGACGCCATGGGCCACGAGCTGCCCTGGATTTACTTCGTCAGCCTCGTCATCTTCGGCTCCTTCTTCGTCCTCAACCTGGTGCTGGGGGTGCTGAGCGGGTGAGGAGCCAGCAGTGGGGCTGAGGGTCAGCAGTGGGGCACTGTCCTTGCTGTGTTTGGGGGTCACACCTGTGCCCCCTCCCCAGGGAATTCTCCAAGGAGAGAGAGAAGGCCAAGGCCCGCGGGGACTTCCAGAAGCTGCGGGAGAAGCAGCAGCTGGAGGAGGATCTGCGGGGCTACATGGACTGGATCACCCAGGCCGAGCTGGAGGGTGACGAGGAGGAGGGGGAGCATGAGAAGCACCGTGAGTGGGGCTGGGGGGCAGTTATGGGGGGAACCCCAAAATCCTCAGCCCCCCCAGAGCTCTGTGACCCTTCTTTCCCACAGGTCTGACCGCCGAGGACCTGATGGGGAAGCGGAAGCCACGGCTGAAGTGGCTGCGCCATGCGAGTCACTCCACTGACACCCACGGTACCCCCGGGGCACCCCAAATTCCCTGAACCCAGACATCCCAAATTCCCTGAACCCAGACATCTCATATCCCCTGGGCCTGGCACCCTTAAATCCCCCAGATCTGGGTACTTCAAATTCCCTGAACTCAGACCCAGACCCCCCCAAATTCCCTTAATCCGGGCACCCCAAAATGCCCCAGACCTGGGCATCCCAAATTCTCTGAACCCAGATCTGGGCACACTCAAATTCCCTGGATCCAGACATCCCAAATTCCCTGGATCCAGACACCTCAAATTCTCCGGACCTGGGCACACACTCAATGTCCTGAACCCAAGCACCCCAAATTCCCTGAACCCAAGCATCCCAAATTCCCTGAATCCAGACCTGGGAACACTGAATTTCCTGGACTGGGCACCCTCAAATTCCCTGACCCCAGACACCCCAAATTCTTCGCACCTGGGCACACCCAGATTCCTTAAACCCACACCTGGGCACCCTGAATTCCCTGGACAGAGCACCCCACATTCCCTGACCCCAGACCCCCCAAATGCCCCCGTGCCGGGCACCCCAGCCCCCCCGGGCTGACGTGTGCCCCCCACCCCAGCCAGCCTCCCGGGCAGCGAGACCACCTCGGTGAACACGGAGACCGTGGGGGAGGAGGAGGCGCCGCCGACCGCCTGCGACCGCTGCCTGTGAGCCCCGGCGGGACACGGGACCCCCGACCCCGCCGGGCCCCGGGATCCCCCCACGGCCCCAGGGACACGCCCCGGATCCCTGTGACACCCCACAAATCCCTGGGAGCCCAAACCCGACACCTACAGCGCCTCAGGACAATTTAGGATCCTCCCACAGCCCCCCCATGTCCCCCCAAAACCACTCATAGCTGGCGGGACCCCACCCCGAGATGCACCCCGAGACCCCAGAACTGACCCCCACAGCACCTCAAAGCCCTCTGAGACCCCTCCATACCCCACGGACCCCCCATACTCCCTCCAGGACCCCAAAACCGACCCCAGCACCCCTATGATCACCCCCAGGTACCCCAACCAGGGATCCTCTAAGCCCCACACAACCAAATCTGACCCCAAAACCCCTGTAAAGCCCCCCCCCCAGGGCCGAGGGACTCCTCCAGAATCCCCAAATTTTGGGGTAATTTCTGCTTTTCTCTCCCCAGGGGCAAAATTACAAAGACAAAATTCTGGTGAGTGGGGAGAAGAAAGGGGGGTGTGGAAAAAATGGAGGGAGGGCCACAGTGGGGCCCCCCTAAAGCCTCCCAACCCGTCCCACCTGACAGGGACTCTGTCACCCCCCCACCTCCCCTCTGTCCCCAAAATCCCACTGCTCCTACGTCCCCCACCCCCTCTCATCACCCTGTATCCCGAATTCCTCCACGTTCCCCAAAACACCCCAAATTCCCCCCTACCCTTGTCCTTCCCTACTCCCAAATCTGCCCTGCCCCAAGGGAAATATGGGTTGGATATTAGGAGAATGTTTTTTATGGAAAAAAATGGGTTTTTAAAAGCCTGTGTGTGGCTGGTTTGGGTGAGGTTTTAGGGCTGGAGAGACTCAGAGATCTCGGAGGTCTCTTCTGATTCTGTGTGACCCCTCATTTCCCCCCAAACCCAAACCCCCCTCACCTCCTCCCGCGTGACGGGGGGGATTTTTCTGTCACCCCGAACCCCCTCGCTGTCCCCCAGTCGCCGCCTGCGCCGCCTGAACCGCCTGTGGCGCCGGCGCTGCCGCGCGGCCGTGAAATCCGTGTCCTTCTACTGGACCGTGCTGCTGCTCGTGTTCCTCAACACGCTGACCATCGCCTCCGAGCACCACGGGCAGCCGCCCTGGCTCACCGAGACACAGGGTGCGACCCCCGGGACCCCCCGGGACCCCCTAGTAACCCCCCGACACCTCCCAGTGCCTCTCTAACCCCTCGGTGCCTCCCAAACCCCGCGGTTGCCCCGACACACCCAGGGCCCCCAAAACCCTCCGGTACCCCCCAGTGCACCCCGATACCTCCCAGTGCCTCTCCAACCCCTCGGTACCCCCCACAGGGAATATTTTCCCCCCTCAGCTGCCCGGGTCATCCTGTATTTCTGGGGATCTGTGGAGACAGAACGCGAGAGAAAAGTGCGGGATGAGCCAGAGAAGGAGAAAAGAGGAGATCGGGAAGGGCTGGAGAGGGGCGGGGCGAGGGTGGAGTTATGTAGATAATCGGGCTGCGCATGCAAATGAGTCGCGGATGCCGCCAAAGGCATCATGGGAGCGAAAATCTGGGGCGATTTTCGGGATTTTCGGGGTGGGTGCGTACAAACCGCGGGAGGAGAGCGCGGGATGAGCTGGGGAAAAGCTCGCAGAGCGGCTCCGGAGCGGGGCGGGCGCGGCGCGGGGGTGTCCGTGAGGTGCGGGCGGGCCGGGCGGGGCCGGGCGCGGCGCTCGGGGGAGCTGGGGCATCGCTTCTCGGCCTTTTGGCTAAGATCAAGTGTAGTATCTGTTCTTATCAGTTTAATATCTGATACGTCCTCGATGAGAGGACTTTATATTAAACGGATTTTTGGGCTCGGGAGTTGGACCCGGAGCTTGCTCCCTCCGCTCCGCGCATCGTCCCGGTATTGCAGTGCCTCCGGGAACGGTGCACCCCCACGGGGACCTTTCCTTGGTGAAAAACAGAATAAAAAAAACCATCTGGAAATGGCTGAAATTGAAATTATATCGCGATATCAGCCGTGATCCTGCCACCCGCCGACCTTTTGCAGCTCCCTCGTTCTGTGCTGCGCTCGCCGTGCCGGTGTTGCAGCGCCTCCGGGAACGCTGCACCTGAAATGGTGCAAAATTGACCGAAATTATCTGAAAATGGGTGAAATATTGATGATATCGCGATATGATATGTCTAGGGTCCCCCAAGCCCTCCGGTACCCTCGACACCCCCAGTGCCCCCCAAACAACACCCCCCTGACATCTCCCGGTACCCCCCAAACAACACCCCCCTGACATCTCCCGGTACCCCCGACACCCCCAGAGCTCGGGGGGCCCGTCCCACCCTCCGCCGGGGGTGACTCGGGTGTGTCCCCCGGTGTCCCCCCCAGCGTACGCCAACAAGGCGCTGCTGTCGCTGTTCGCCGCCGAGATGGTGCTGAAGCTCTACGCGCTCGGCCCCTCGTGCTACTTCGCCAGCTTCTTCAACCGCTTCGACTGCTTCGTGGTGTGCGGCGGCGTGCTGGAGACCGCGCTGGTGGAGCGCGGCGCCATGGAGCCGCTCGGCATCTCCGTGCTGCGCTGCGTGCGCCTGCTGCGCGTCTTCAAGGTCACCCGGTGAGCGACAGCGCGGGGACACCGCAGTGACACGCACCCGGGACACCCCGACACTGGGACACCCTGACACCGTGACACTCCGACAATGGGGCATCGCAGTGCCGCGCACGGGGGACACCCCGACACTGGGACACCCTGACACCGTGACACCCCAACAATGGGAAACTGCAGTGCCACGCACCAGGACATCCCGACACCGGGACACCCTGACACTGGGACACCCTGACACCGTGACACTCCGACAATGGGGCATCGCAGTGACACACACCGGGGACACTCCGACACTGGGACACCCCTACAATGGGACACGCCAACAATGGGACACTGCAGTGCCATGCACCAGGACACCCCAACACCGGGACACCCTGACACTGGGACACCCCGACACCAGGACACCCGGACACGGGGACACCCCAACAATGGGACACCCGGACACTGGGACACCCCAACACTGGGACACCTCAGTGCCACAGCACTGGGACACCCTGACACTGGGGCACCCCGACACCAGGACACCCCAACACTAGAACGACCCAACAATGGGACACCGCAGTGCCGTGCACTGGGACACCCCGACACCAGGACACCCCAGTGCCACACCACCAGGACACCCAAACACTGTGGTTCTCCAGTGCCCCAACAGCACAATATCCCAATGCCTCAATGCCCTGACACCCCAATATCCCAACACCCCAATGCCTCAATACCCCAACACCCCAATGCCCCAACACCACAATGTCCCAATGCCTCAATGCCCTGACACCCCAATATCCCAACACCCCAATGCCTCAATACCCCAACACCCCAATGCCCCAACACCACAATGTCCCAATGCCTCAATGCCCTGACACCCCAATATCCCAACACCCCAATGCCCCAATACCCCAACACCCCAATGCCCCAACACCACAATGTCCCAATGCCTCAATGCCCTGACACCCCAATATCCCAGGGGCACCCCGACACCAGGACACCCCAACACTAGAACGACCCAACAATGGGACACCGCAGTGCCGTGCACTGGGACACCCCGACACCAGGACACCCCAGTGCCACAACACCAGGACACCCAAACACTGGTTCTCCAGTGCCCCAACACCACAATGTCCCAATGCCTCAATGCCCTGACACCCCAATATCCCAACACCCCAATGCCTCAATACCCCAACACCCCAATGCCCCAACACCACAATGTCCCAATGCCTCAATGCCCTGACACCCCAATATCCCAACATCCCAACACCCCAATGTCCCAGCCCTGCAATGTCCCAAAGCCACAACACCCCAATGTCCCAAGGGAGCAATGCTCTAATGCCGTGATGTCCCAAATTGGTGACACCCCAATGCTGCAACACCCCCCACCACCAGGTGTTGGCTCTGCACTGGCCTCTTCCCAGTGCTCCCAGTGCCCCCAGTAACCCCAGGCCCTGGGCCAGCTCCACCAGGTGTTGGCTCTGCACTGTCCATCCAGCCCTTCCCAGTGCTCCCAGTAACCCACATGTCCCGTAGGCACTGGGCATCACTGAGCAACCTGGTGGGGTCCCTGCTGAACTCCATGAAATCCATCGCCTCCCTGCTGCTGCTGCTCTTCCTCTTCATCATCATCTTCGCTCTCCTGGGCATGCAGCTCTTCGGGGGCCGCTTCAGCTTCGACGAGACCCAGACCAAGCGCAGCACCTTCGACACCTTCCCGCAGGCCCTGCTCACCGTGTTCCAGGTACCCCAAAACCTGGGGGGACCTGACATCCCTCAGGGGGACCCCAAAGCCTGCAGGGGTGTCAGACCCTGAAACCCCACAGGAGGCTCTGAAAGTTGTGGGGGGGGGCACCCCAAAATGCACGGGGGACCCTAAAGCCTTGAGGAGACCCCAAAACCTGGGGGGAACCTGAAATCCCTGAAGGGGGACCCCAAAGCCTGCAGGGGTGTCAGACCCTGAAACCCCACAGGAGGCTCTGAAAGTTGTGGGAAGACCCCAAAATGCACAGGGGACACTAAAGCCATGAAGAGACCCCAAAACTATGGGGAACCCCAGAATTTGTGTGAGACCTCCAAACCCAAGGGAGACCCTAAAAGCTGTGAGATATCCCAACACCTGTGAGGGACCTTGAATCTCGTGGGTCCCCTAAACCTGTGGGAAGACCCCAAAACCCATGAGCCCCCCTCAAACCATCCCATCACCACCCTGTAGCCTCTCTGGTGTGATGCTGCACACTCAGAACTGGGAGGCAGCGGTGTACTGGGGGCACTGGTGGGGGTGGCACTAAGGTTTTGGGGTGCCCCTGGTGTTTGGGGACCCCCTACTCACCCAGATCCTGACGGGGGAGGATTGGAACGCGGTGATGTACGATGGGATCATGGCCTACGGTGGCCCCGTGTTCCCCGGGATGCTCGTCTGTGTCTACTTCATCATCCTCTTCATCTGCGGGAACTGTGCGTGGGCAGCCTGGGCTCTGGGGGCACGGGGGCTACTGGGAGGGACTGGGAGCACTGGCAGCACTGGGGGCACTGGGAGGGACCAAGAGCACTGGGGCTACTGGGAGCACTGGGGGCACTGGGAGGGACTGGGAGCACTGGAGGCACTGTGGGCACTGGGAGGCACTGTGGGCACTGGGAGCACCAGAGGGACTGGGAGGGACTGGGAGCACAGTGGGTACCGGGAACACTGGGAGCACTGGGAACATTGGGAGCACTGGGAACACTGGGAGGCCCAGGGAGTACTGGGGGCACTGGAAGGGACTGGGAGCACTGGGAGGAACCAAGAGCACTGGGGACACTGGGGGCACTAGGGGCACTGGGAGGGACTGGGAGCACAGGGGGCACTGGGAACACTGGGAGGACTGGGAACATTGGGAGGCACAGGGAGCATTGTGGGCACTGTGGACACTGGGAGCACCAGAGGGACTGGGGGCACTGGAAGGAACTGGGAGCACTGTGGGCACTGGGATCACTGGGAGGAACCAAGAGCACTGGGAGCACTGGGAGGGACTGGGAGCACTGGAGGCACTGTGGGCACTGGGAGCACCAGAGGGACTGGGAGGGACTGGGAGCACAGTGGGTACCGGGAACACTGGGAGCACTGGGAACATTGGGAGCACTGGGAACACTGGGAGGCCCAGGGAGTACTGGGGGCACTGGAAGGGACTGGGAGCACTGAGGGCACTGTGGGGGCACTGGGAGGCACAGGGAGCACTGGGGGTACTGGGATCACTGGGAGGAACCAAGAGCACTGGGAGCACTGGGAGGGACTGGGAGCACTGGGAGGGACTGGGAGCACCAGAGGGACTGGGAGTGGGGAGCTGGGGAACTGGGAATGGAGCACAGGGTAACTGGGGAGATGTGCTGGGACAGAGTGGGGCTTGGAATGATAAAAGGGGGGAGTGGGGTCACTGGAAGGGCGTTGGGGGATACTGGGAGGATACTGGGAGCACTGGTGAGCCCTTCTCTCCCCTCAGACATCCTCCTCAACGTCTTCTTGGCCATCGCCGTGGACAACCTGGCGGACGGTGACAACATCAACTCGGGGGGGGACAAAAAGTGAGCCCGGACCCCTGGGGCCCTTTTGGGGGTGATGGGGGAGGGCACCCATCCCCTGGGCCCCCTGGGGGGTGCCCGACCCCCGGGACCCCCTGGCTGAGCCCCCCTTTTCCCCCAACCCAGGGACAAGGCTGGGGAGGCAGAGGCGGGGACGGAGAGCCAGGACGTGGCTGTGAAGGTGAGGGGGGTCCCGGGGGGTGACCATGACTGGGGGGTCTTGGGGGGGTCCCTCCCTCCCCCCAAAGTGTGCACAGCCCCTCACCCCTCCTCTTCCCCAGGTTGAGGGGGATCAGCCGCAGGAGGAAGAGGAGGAGGAGGAGGAGGAGGTGGAGGAAGGTGAGTGTTACCTGCCCGGGCATCGGGAACATTGGGGGGTGGCAGTGCCCTGATGTGGGGGTCCCTGAAGGGGGGGTGTGACAGTTATTGAGCATCAGGGTCCTGGGGGAGGTGACAGTGACATGAGATGGGGTCCCTGGAGGGGGATGGCAGTGTCTGGGGTGGGGGTTCCCAGTGGGGTGGGGGTGACATGAAGGGCACCTGGGGGGTGACAGTCCTTGAACATGGGGGTCCCTGCAGGGGTGTGACAGTGCCTGGGGTGAGGTCCCTAGTGAGGTGACAGTGGCTGGACACAGGGTCCCTGGGGAGGTGACAGTGCCTAGGGTGGGGTCCCTGGGGAGGTGACAGTGGCTGGACATGGGGACCCTGGGGAGGTGACAGTGCCTGGACACAGGGACCCTGGAGAGGTGACAGTGGCCAGACACAGGGGTCCCTGGAGGGGGGGATGTGACAGTGGCTGGACATGGGGTCCCTTGCAGGTGACGAGGAGGCCGGGGGGGAGCGTGACAGCCTGGGGAGGGCCCAGCTGGAGTCCCTGGAGGAGGCCCCCAAGACCAAGGTGACCCCGATCCCTGAGGGCAGCGCCTTCTTCGTGCTGAGCAGCACCAACCCGTGAGTGGCACTGGGGCATTGGGAGAACTGGGAGAACTGGGAGCACTGGGATTGGAGATACAGACTGGGGGGACTGGGAGCACTGGGAGGCTGGGAGAACTGGGATTGGAGATACAGACTGGGGGGACTGGGAGCACTGGGGGACTGGGAGCACTGGGATTGGAGATACAGACTGGGGGGACTGGGAGCACTGGGACTGGAGACACAAGCTGAAGGGACTGGGAGCACTGGGGGACTGGGAGCACTGGGATTGGAGATACAAACTGGGGGGACTGGGAGCACTGGGATGAATTGGGAGCACTGGGGATTGGGAGCACTGGGAGCGGAGACACAAACTGGACTGACTGGGAGCTCTGGGGGGACTGGGAGCACTGGAGACACAAACTGGGGGGGCACTGGGAGCACTGGGGGGCACTGGGATGGACTGGGAACACTGGGAGCTGACGTGTGCCTGGTGCAGGCTGCGGGTCAAGTGCCACGCCCTGATCAACCACCACATCTTCACCAACCTCATCCTCGTCTTCATCATCCTCAGCAGCATCTCCCTGGCCGCAGAGGACCCCGTGCGCGCCCACTCACCCCGCAACCACGTGGGCTACTGGGCACGCTGGGCAAACTGGGAGGGACTGGGCGCACTGGGGGTGTGGGAGAGTGCACCCCACATGGGATCTGCTCGCCCGGAGTTGGGGAGCAGAAATGGGGGGGGGCTGGGAAGGGCAAGGAGGGTTGAGGGGGAATCTGGGGGTGTTTGGGGGGTCCAGGAGGTCGGGGGGGTTGAGAAGGGTCGGGGTCACCCCGTTCCCCCCTCCCCACCCCACCCCCAGATCCTGGGCTACTTTGACTACGCCTTCACCTCCATCTTCACCGTGGAGATCCTGCTCAAGGTATGGGGGGGTCTCTGGGGTTTGGGGTGGGCAGGGGGTCCCATGGTTTTTGGGGGTTCCCACCCCCCCTCTGAGGGGTCCCCACCCCCCCTCTGAGGGGTCCCCACCCCCTCAGGGTGCTGAGGGTCCCCCTGACCCCCCGATCCCCCCAGGGCAAGTTCTACAGCTGCACTGACGAGGCCAAGCACACGCCAGGAGAGTGCAAGTGAGCATCACCCCAAAAATGACCCCACACCCCAAACTGAGCCCTGAACCTCAAATCCTGGCCCTGAGCCACCCCAACGGTGTCCCCATGGTGTCCCACCCCCCTGCTGGTGGCAGTGTCCTGTTGGGGTCTCACCATTGCTGTCCCTGTGATCCTGTGGTGTCCCTGTGTCCCCATGGGGTTCCGCTGTTGCTGTTCCTGTGGTGTCCCTGTGGCCCCCCAGTCAGTGGAAGTGTCCAGGGGGTGTCTCACCCTCGCTGTCCCCATGTCCCCATCCCAGGGGGACATTCCTGGTGTACAAGGATGGGGACATGTCCCACCCCTCAGTGGTGGAAGTGTCCAGGGGGTGTCTCACCCTCGCTGTCCCCATGTCCCCATCCCAGGGGGACATTCCTGGTGTACAAGGATGGGGACATGTCCCACCCCTCAGTGGTGGCAGTGTCCAGGGGTGTCTCACCCTCGCTGTCCCCTAGGGGGACATTCCTGGTGTACAAGGACGGGGACGTGTCCCACCCGTCGGTGCGGGAGCGCCTCTGGCTCAACAGTGACTTCAACTTCGACAATGTCCTGGCGGGGATGATGGCCCTGTTCACCGTGTCCACCTTCGAGGGGTGGCCAGCGTGAGTCCCTGGGGTGGGCACGGGGACACTGCCACCCCCGCAGGGACACCCCCAGCACCGTGTCCCCCCTAGGCTGCTGTACAAGGCCATCGATGCCAACGCCGAGAACCAGGGGCCCATCTACAACTACCGTGTGGAGATCTCCATCTTCTTCATCGTCTACATCATCGTCATCGCCTTCTTCATGATGAACATCTTCGTGGGCTTCGTCATCATCACCTTCCGCGCGCAGGGCGAGAGCGAGTACCGCAACTGCGAGCTCGACAAGAACCAGGTGTGGGGACATGCTGGCCGTGGCCCTGCCGTGTCCCCATGGCCCTGCCGTGTCCCCTTGGCTCTGCGATGTCCCCATAACCCTGTGGTGTCCCCATGCTGTCCCTGCACTGTCCCCATGCTGTCCCCTGTCCCCGCAGTGGTAGTGTGTGGGGTGGAGGCGGGATGGCAGCGGGGTGGCCGTGTCCCCACACTGTCCCTGCACTGTCCCCGCACTGTCCCCACGCTGTCCCCACACTGTCCCCTGTCCCCGCAGCGGCAGTGTGTGGTGTGGCAGTGGGGTGGCCGTGTCCCCACACTGTCCCTGCACTGTCCCCGCACTGTCCCCACGCTGTCCCCTGTCCCTGCAGCGGCAGTGGGTGGGGTGGAGGTGGGACGGCAGTGGGGTGGCCGTGTCCCCACGCTGTCCCCACACTGTCCCCTGTCCCCGCAGCGGCAGTGTGTGGTGTACGCGCTGAAGGCGCAGCCGCTGCGCCGTTACATCCCCAAAAACCGCACCCAGTACCGCGTGTGGGCCATGGTCAACTCCACCGCCTTCGAGTACATCATGTTCGTCCTCATCCTGCTCAACACCATCGCCCTGGCCGTGCAGGTGGGGGGGAACACCTGGGGGGACAGGGGGGGTCACAGAGGGGACAGTGCCAGACCCCCGTGTCCTCCCCCAGCACTATGAGCAGTCCAAGCCCTTCAACTACGTGATGGACCTGCTCAACATGGTGTTCACGGGGCTCTTCACTGTGGAGATGGTGCTCAAGATCATTGCCTTCAAACCCCGGGTATGCCGCAGGGGTGTCATGGGGGGGTCACACAAGGGGTGACACAAGGGGGGGTCACAGACAGGGGGTCCTCACCACCTCCCCCCCACCCCAGCATTACTTCTGCGATGCCTGGAACACCTTTGATGCCCTCATCGTGGTGGGCAGCGTGGTGGACATTGCCGTCACTGAGGTCAACGTGAGTCGCCCTCCTTGTCCCCTGGCTCAGGGGGAGTTGATGTTTTGGGGTGCTCCTGGATGTCTGGGTCTCTCCCTGGTCCATGTCCTCATGTCCATGTCTGTCTTCATCATCTCCATCATTTCCATCTCCATCATCTCCATCATCTTCATCCATCTCCATCGTCCCATCTGCCTGTCACAGAACGGGGGGCACGTTGGTGAGGTACGGGGAGGTGTCCCCAGCTGGGGGATTTCTGGGGGGGCTGTGCAGGTGTTTTGGGGTGCCCCTGACCCCCCTCCCTGCAGAGCTCAGAGGACAGTTCCCGCATCTCCATCACCTTCTTCCGGCTCTTCCGCGTGATGCGGTTGGTGAAGCTGCTCTCCAAGGGCGAGGGCATCCGCACCCTGCTCTGGACCTTCGTCAAGTCCTTCCAGGTGGGATGGGGGGGACAAAGGGGAGAGGGGACATGGAGGGGGGACCCCCAGCACCCCCTCACCCTCACTCTGTCCCCAGGCCCTGCCCTACGTCGCTCTGCTCATTGCCATGATCTTCTTCATCTACGCCGTCATCGGGATGCAGGTGAGGGGCCTGGGGGAGGTGAGGGGTCCCGGGGGGAGGTGAGGGATGTGGGGGGTGTGAGGGGCGTGGGGGGTGGTGTCCTGTAAGCCCCCGGCCCCCTCTGTCCCCCCCAGACCTTCGGGAAGGTGGCGCTGCAGGACGGGACCCAGATCAACCGCAACAACAACTTCCAGACCTTCCCCCAGGCCGTGCTGCTGCTCTTCAGGTGGGGACGGGGGCCTGGGGGGTTCTGGGGGGTCTGCAGGGGCTGGGGGGTCTGCGGGGGGCTCTTGGAGGCCAGGGGGCTCTGGGCTTCTCATGGGACTTTGGAGCTTCCTCTCAATGAATCATGAAGTGGGTTACAAATCTGCCCCAGGGGTGCAGGTGTGCAGTGGGGGGGACACAGGTGTGCCCAGGGGTACAGGTGTGCCATGGGGACACAGGTGTGTCACAGGGGTACAGGTGTGCCATGGGGACACAGGTGTGTCACAGAGGTACAGGTGTGCTCTGGGGGTACAGGTGTGTCCCGTGGGGTACAGGTGTGCCATGGGGGTATAGGTGTGTCATAAGGGTACAGGTGTGTCCTGGGGTGTGCAGGTGTGCACTGGGGGGGACATAGGTGTGCCCCAGGGGTACAGGTGTGCAGTGGGGAGGACACAGGTGTGTCACAGGGGTACAGGTGTGCCCTAGGGGTACAGGTGTATCACAGGGGTACAGGTGTGCCCCAGGGGTACAGGTGTGCCACGGTGTTACAGGTGTGCCATGGGGTTACAGGTGTGTCACAGGGGTACAGGTGTGCCATGGGGTTACAGGTGTGCCATGAGGGTACAGGTGTGCCATGAGGGTACAGGTGTGCCATGGGAGTTCAGGTGTGTCACAGGGGTACAGGTGTGCCATGGGGGTACAGGTGTGTCCCGTGGGCTGCAGGTGTGCCACGGGGGAGGCGTGGCAGGAGATCATGCTGGCCAGCCTGCCGGGCAAGCGCTGCGACCCCGAGTCGGACGCGGGCCCGGGGGAGGAGTTCACCTGCGGCAGCAACTTCGCCATCGCCTACTTCATCAGCTTCTTCATGCTCTGCGCCTTCCTGGTGAGACACGGGGCCCTGCCCCACGGCCCCAGCACTGCCCCACACCCCTCAGGACCCCTATGGACATCCTGACCCCCCCTTGATGCCCCCAGATCATCAACCTGTTCGTGGCTGTGATCATGGACAATTTTGACTACCTGACACGCGACTGGTCCATCCTGGGCCCACACCACCTGGATGAGTTCAAGCGTGTGTGGTCCGAGTACGACCCCGCAGCCAAGTGTGTAACTGTCCCCTTGTCCCCATCCGGGGGGGCCAGGTGTCCGGACCACCCATGACCTCCTGTCCCCCGTCCCCAGGGGCCGCATCAAACACCTGGACGTGGTGACGCTGCTGCGCCGGATCCAGCCCCCACTGGGCTTTGGGAAGCTCTGCCCACACCGCGTGGCCTGCAAGGTCTGGGGGGGTTCCTGGGGGGATTTGGGGTGCTCCTGGGGGGAGCCACCCAGATTCACCCCCCTCTTGTCCCCTCCCAGCGCCTGGTGGCCATGAACATGCCCCTCAACTCGGACGGGACCGTCACCTTCAACGCAACGCTCTTCGCTCTGGTCCGCACCTCCCTCAAGATCAAGACGGAAGGTGGGGAGCTGGGAGGGTGTGGAGGGGGCAGGGGACAGCAGGGGGTGACAGTCATGGCTGTGTGTCCCCTGCAGGGAACCTGGATGTGGCCAACAAGGAGCTTCGGGCTGTGGTGAAGAAGATCTGGAAGAGGACGAAGCCGAAGCTGCTGGACGAGGTCATCCCCCCGCCCGAGGGTGTGTGAGGGCCGTGCGTGTCCCCTCCCTGTCCCCTCAGACCCCCGGCTGTCCCCTGACCCTCCGTGTCCCCCAGAGGAGGAGGTCACCGTCGGGAAGTTCTACGCCACCTTCCTGATCCAGGACTATTTCCGCAAGTTCCGGCGGCGGAAGGAGCGGGGGATGCTGGGCGCTAACGCAGGCCCCAGCAACGAGTGTGCGCTGCAGGTGCGACACCCCCGGGCGGGGCTGGGGGTCCCAGGTGTCACCAGGTGACCCCCCTGACCCTCCTGTGTCCCCCCAGGCCGGGCTGCAGACACTGCAGGCGCTGGGCCCTGAGATGCGCCGGGCACTGAGTGACCTGGAGGGGGACGAGGGCGGGGACGCCCCTTCGGAGGAGCCGCTCACCTACGCAGTGAGCCACGCCCACCACACCTTTCCTTTGGCCACGCCCACCGACAGCACATTTATTTGCCACGCCCACCGGGCTCACCTGTGCCACCCTGCCCATGCCCACAGGCCACACCTGCCCCCAAAGCCACACCAAATGGCCACACCTATTCTGTGACCACTCCCACCGGCCACACCTGTCCAAAATCCATACCAAATGACCTGTCCCATGGCCACGCCCACCGGCCACACCTGCCCCAAAGCCATACCGAATGTCCACACCTGTGCCATGGCCGCGCCCACCGACCACACCTGTCCAAAATCCACACCGAATGTCCACACCTGTGCCGTGGCCACGCCCACCGACCCGCCTCTCTCCGCAGGCCCCCGAGACGCTCTACGGCTCCGCCCCCGGCTCCCCCCTGCTCTCGGAGCCACCCCCCGTCCCCAGCCCCGCGCCCACCGAAGGGGAGGACCCCGCGCCCCCCTCCCACGGGGGAGCCCCCCGCCCTGGCGGCAGGTACGGGGGGCTGGGGACACCCCGACACGGGGCGGGGGTTCCCGGGGAGGACGGGGGGTGCCCATGGCCCTCTGTGCAGGCGGCGCTCCGACGCGGGGGACCAGGAGGAGGAAGCCCCCGCCGAGGATGCGGAGGAGCCGGGAGGGGAGCCGGGGGATGTCAGCCACGACGAGGACCTGGAGAGCTCGGCACCGGCCCGGCGCCGCTGGGTCGGGGACAGGTACCGCGACCCCCGAGGCTGTGGGGGAGAACCGCATCTAGAGAGGTCCCTGCAGCTGGGGAGGGGAGTCCCGTCAGCCCTGACGCTGTCCCCGTGCCAGGCTGCCGGGACCCCCGAAAGGCGAGGGGTGTCTCTGTAACTGGGGAGGGGGCACTGGAGGGATCTGTCCCGGGAGAGGGTGATTCTGTCGCCCCCTGACCCCGCTGGGTCCCCCCGCGCTGGGAGGTGTCCCAGGGGATGTTCCCAGCCCGGACTGACCCCCTTGTTCCCCGCAGGGCACCGGGACCCCCGCGCTGGGCGGCGGAGCTGCCCCGGGGGGGGTCGCTGCCGCTGCCCCCCCGGCACTTCGCGTTTGGCAGCGGCGCTCGCGAGGGGCAGCAGCTGAAACGGCGCCGGCTCCTGCCCCCCACCCCCGCTGGTACGGCGGGGCCGGGAAAGGGGGCCGGGGGGCAAAGGAGGGGCCGGGGCCTCCAGTGAGACCCTCCGTGATCGCACCCGGCAGCGCTGACCTAGTTCCCCCGTAGCCCGGGACGGTTCCACGGTAGCCCCGGAAGGTCCCTGGGGCTGATGGCGAGGAAAGATGACCCTCCGTGGTGCCCCGATGGGGAGGGGGGTGTCCCGCAGTACCCCAGGAAGGATCCCTGATAGGTGGGGTTGACCCCTCCCTGTGCCCCCGGGTGCCCCTAGATCCGGGGGGGACTCTGCCCGCTGCCCTCCGATAGCCCAGAGGGCTCCTGCCCGGTGCCCCTGAGGATGTGACTCTGCCCGGTGCCCCTGAGGGTCCCTGGCCGGGGGCTGACCCTGCCCACTGCCCCCCAGGCCGGAAGCCCTCCTTCACCATCCAGTGCCTGCGGCGCCAGGGTAGCTGCGAGGACGAGCCCATCCCGGGCACTTACAACCCCTCGGGCCCGCCCGGCCCTGCCCGGCCGCAGGTACTGCTGGAGGTGGGACAGACAGACGGGGAGGGGGGACACTCTGACAGTGTCACCCCCGCACTGACCCCATCCCGCCCCCAGGGCTACGGCAGCTCCGAGACCTGGCGCCTGGGGGGCTCCTCGCAGGCCTGGGCGGCCCCGGCCCGCGGGCACGTTCTGTACGCGCCGCTCATCCTGGTGGAGGGGGCTCCGGCGGCGGGGGCGGGCGGCAGCCTGCCCCCCCTCAACCGCTGGTTCCCCCCCGCGCCGCTGCGCCTGCGGCCCTGCGGGCCCCACGATGCCCTGGCCCGAGGCTCGGCTGACAGCCTGGTGGAGGCCGTGAGTGGGGGACATGGGAGGGGGGGCGTGGGGGGTATATGGAGTGACATGGCTCAGCCCACAGCCTGGTGGAAGTAGCGAAGGGGGGACAGCCCGTGGCTTGCCCAACAGCCTGGTGGAGGAAGTGAGGAAGGAGAGGAACACGGGGGGACACAGGCACGCCTCCGATGCCGGTGCCAGCGCCTCCCCCTCGCCCCCCCAACCCAGGTGCTGATCTCGGAGGGGCTGGGGCTGTTCGCCCGCGACCCCAAGTTCGTGGCGGTGGCCAAGCGCGAGATCGCGGACGCGTGCGACATGACGATGGACGAGATGGAGAGCGCGGCCACAGACCTGCTGACCCGGCGCCGCGCTCCGCCCGCGCCCACTCCCGCCGTCTACAGCGACGAGGAACCGCTGCGGCCGCCGGCGGAGGAGGAGCTGGCGGACGAGATGGGCTGGGCCGGCGGGGTCTAGAACCCGGCACCGCGGAGCCGGACGGGCTGGCTCTAGAACCCGGCACCGCAGGTGCGAGCAGGCCGGCTCTAGAACCCGCCACCACGGGCCGGGACGGCCTGGCTCTAGAACCCGGCGCCGCGAGTGCGAGCAGGCCGGCTCTAGAACCCGGCACCGCGAGTGTGAGCAGGCTGGCTCTAGAACCAGGGGACCTGAGGCCGGCTCTAGAACATGGCATAGCAATGCCGGATGGGCCGACTCTAGAACCCGACTCTAGAACCCGGCACCGACACCGGACCTTGTGGGGGCAATGTTACCTCAGGAAAAAAAGGGATTTTTTATCAAAAAGTTTCGATTTTTTTTTCCTCACACAAGGAGGGTTTTATTCTGGAAAAGGGGTATTTGCCTCAGGGATGGGTTTTTTTCCTGAAAAAGGTGGGTTTTTCCCTCAGGAAAAGGGGTATTTGCCTCAGGGATGGGGTTTTCTCCTGAAAAAGGTGTTTTTTTTTCCCTCAGGAAAAGGGGTATTTGCCTCAAAAAAAAGGAAGTTTTTACTCAAAACCAAGAAGTGTGTTTTCCTTCAAAATAACCAAACCGTGTTTTCCTAAGGGAAAGGAAGGGTTCCTCAAAAAAGGAAGGGATTTACCTGAAAAAAAAGATTTTTTTTTTCTTCTGGAACAGAGATATGCGTTGGGGGGTGGGGGGAGTATAATCCGAAAATTAATTTTTTCCTCAGAAAAAGGAATTATTATTATTAATAATTATTACCTCAAAAAGTTTTTCCTCAAGAAACCCACTCAAAACCACACATAACCCCAAACCAATTACTTTTTCCTCAAAAAGGACAATTTTTTTCACAAAAAGGAGGGATATTTCCTCAATTTAGAAAAATGAGGGAGTTACATTAAAAAAAAAAGGATTTAAAAAGAAAGGAGGGGTTTACTTCAGGGGGAAAAAAAAAAGTGTTCTCTTCTAGAAAAAGGTTATTTGCCTTAAATTTGCTGTTTAGAGGAGGATTTTCCTCAGGAAAATGGATGTTTACCTTAAAAAAATTAGGAGATTTATCTCAGGAAAAGAGACATTTACCTCCTGGGGATGGTGAATTGTTCTCAAAAAGGAATATTCCCTCTTGGAAAGGGATAATTATCTAAAAAAAAAAATCCTTTAAAAAAAGTTTTGCCTAAAAAAGAAGTTTTCTATTCCAAGAAAAGGAGGTGTTTTCCCCTCAAAAAAGAAGTTTTGCCTCAGGAAAAGCGAGATTTACACCCAAAAAGGAGGAACTGCCAAAAAGAAAAAAAAAAAAAAAAGAAAAAAAAGAAAAGAAAAAAAAGAGAGGGGGATTTTACATCAGGAAAAAGTATTTTGTCACCTCAGAAAACGTAAATTTTACATTACAAAGGAAGCGTTTGCTTCCCTGAGGAAAGAGGAATTTTCACCTCAGAAATGGGGATTTTTACCTCAAAAAGGAGGATTTTTATCTCCAAAAAAGCAGAATTTACCTCAAGCAAGGGAGTTCTACTGCAAACAGAGGAATATTAACACAGAGGATTTTACCTCACACAGTGGAGTTTTAAATCAGAAAAAAAAAGGATTTTTTATCTGAGAAAAAGTGAATTTTACCTCACAAGAGGGGTCTTAGCTGAGAGAGGGGGATTTTACCTCAGGAAAGGTAAATTTTACCTCAGGAAAGGTAAATTTTACCTCAGAGACAAAGGTTTTATCTGAAGAAAGGTGAATGTTTTACTTCAGAAAGAGCAAAATTTACCCCATGAAACAGGGTTTAACTGGAAGAAAAAGCACTTTTCACCTCAAGAAGGGGAATTTTACCTCAGAAAAGGGGTTTTTACCCAAGGAAAGGTAAATTTTGCCTCACAGAAGAGGGTTTTACCTCAGGAAATAACATTTCACACCCCAGAAAGGGGGATTTTACCTCAGGGAAGGGGTGTTTTATATCACAAAAGTGGATTTTCCCTCAGAAAAAATAAACTTTACCTCACGGAAGAGGGTTTTACCTTAGAAAAAAGCATTTCTCCCTTCAGGAAGGGGGGACTTTACCTCAGAAAATAGAAACCTTACCTCACTCACTGAAGAGGGTTTTACCTCATGAAAGTGTTCTTTCCTTCAGGAAGGATTTTACCTCAGGAAGGGGATTTTTATCTCAGGAAATGTGAATTCTACCTCATAAATGAGGGGTTTATCTCAAGAAAGGGACATGTTTCACCTCATGGAAGACAAGTTTTACCACAGAAAAGAACTTTTCACCTCAGGGCGGCAGATTTTGCCTCAGAAATGTAAAATTTGACTCAGTTAAAGAGGGTTTTACCTCATGAAAAAGCATCGTTCTCTTCATCAAAGGGGCATTTTACCTCAGAAAAGTGGATTTTTACCTTAGAAAGGTAAATTTTACCTCACAGAATTGGGTTTTATCTCATGAAACAACATGTCACATCTTAGAACGGGAAATTTTACGTCCGGAAAGGGGTGTTTTATCTAAGGGGGAAGGTTTTATCTTCAGACAAGTGGGTTTTAACCTCAGGAGAGGTACATTTTACCTCACGGAAGCGCATTTTTCATCTCTCGGAGGGGGTTTTTCCCTCAGGACCAGGACTGGCTCCGGAGCTCCCAGAGGAGGTTCCCGCGCCCGCCCCTCGCCCCGCCCCTCGCGTGCGTCCATTGGTGGAGCCGGCGGCCAATGGGGAGGCGGCACCGCGAGCGCCCCCACGAGGCTGCGCGGAGATTTGGGGGGGACGAACCCCCAAAATCCTGAACCCCCAAAATCCTGAACCCCCAAAAACCCGAACCGCCAAAATCCCAAACCCTCAAAATACCGAACCTCCAAAACCCCAAACGTCCAAAATCCCGAACGTCCAAAATCCCTAAAGCCCCAAAAATCCCAAACCCCCAAAACCACAAAGTCCCCAAAACCCTGAAACCCCGAAACTCTCAACCCCCAAAATCCTGAACACCTCAAAATACCGAACCCCCCAAATCCCTGAACCCCAGAACTATGAATTCTCAAAATCCTCAACCCCCAAACCCCTGAACCCCCCAAAACCCGAACTCCCAAAATCCTGAACCCCCAAAATCCCAAATCCTCAAAATACCAAACCTCCAAAAATCCTGAACCCCCCAAAACCCGAACCTCCAAAATCCCTGAAGCCCCCAAAATCCCGAACCCCCAAAACCACAAAGTCCCCAAAACCCTGAAACCCCGAAACTCTCAACCCCCAAAATCCTGAACACCTCAAAATACCGAACCCCCCAAATCCCTGAACCCCAGAACTATGAATTCTCAAAATCCTCAACCCCCAAACCCCTGAACCCCCCAAAACCCGAACTCCCAAAATCCTGAACCCCCAAAATCCCAAATCCTCAAAATACCAAACCTCCAAAAATCCTGAACCCCCCAAAACCCGAACCTCCAAAATCCCTGAAGCCCCCAAAATCCCGAACCCCCAAAACCACAAAGTCCCCAAAACCCTGAAACCCCGAAACTCTCAACCCCCAAAATCCTGAACACCTCAAAATACCGAACCCCCCAAAATCCTAAACCCCAAAAGTATGAATTCTCAAAATCCTCAACCCCCAAACCCCTGAACCCCCCAAAACCCGAACTCCCAAAAGGCGGCACCGCGAGCGCCCCCACGGGGCGGCGCGGGGGTTTGGGGGGGACGAACCCCCAAAATCCTGAACCCCCAAAAACCCGAACCGCCAAAATCCCAAACCCTCAAAATACCGAACCTCCAAAAATCCTGAATGTCCAAAATCCCGAACCTCCAAAATCCCTAAAGCCCCAAAAATCCCAAACCCCCAAAACCACAAAGTCCCCAAAACCCTGAAACCCCGAAACTCTCAACCCCCAAAATCCTGAACACCTCAAAATACCGAACCCCCCAAATCCCTGAACCCCAGAACTATGAATTCTCAAAATCCTCAACCCCCAAACCCCTGAACCCCCCAAAACCCGAACTCCCAAAATCCTGAACCCCCAAAATCCCAAATCCTCAAAATACCAAACCTCCAAAAATCCTGAACCCCCCAAAACCCGAACCTCCAAAATCCCTGAAGCCCCCAAAATCCCGAACCCCCCAGGCCGTCCCCACCGTGTCAGCCGCGTCTGTCCGAGCTGGGGGCTCCACGTCACGAGTCCTGGGGGGCACAGGGGGGGTCAGCACTAAAATCAAAACCCTAAAAAGCCTAAAGCCACTGCACCCCAAAAGCAACCCCAGCGATCCCCGCATGGGGGGAACCCCACAAAGGCTCTGCACCCCAGAACCCTCCCGCGCTCCTCCGGGACTGCTCTCACCCCGTGATTGCCCAATTAACAC